CTCTAGAGATGACTGCTCTCTGGATGGTTGAACCTGTTTTCTCACCAACCACTTATGCCAGCCTACACTCTGACCATACTATTACTGAACTTTTACTTTTTGACAATCTGGTAGGTGAAAATATGTATTTTACTTTTTTCCCCCCCAAAGGTGTAAAAGACTAATTTTTATTTTATGTTGCAAGTACTTTTTCTCCCAATTTGGCATTTTTTGGTTTTAATTATTCCCTTTTTGCTTATTCTTCTGTGGATTATTTTTTTTGCTTAAATCTTTGATCTACTTGGAATTTACCTTGGAATAAAGAGTAAGGTAGGAAATCTGAGTTCCTTTTTACTAAATTATTAGTCTTCCTAATAACCATTTGTAGAATAATCTGTCTTTTCCCACTGACTCTAATATGCCATGTTTATCATATACTTAACTCCTCCATGTATTTGTATTTTCTTCTGAACCCTTATTTTGGTTTTACTAATCTGTTCTCTCCTGTACTAGTAACGAACTTCTAAATTTCTATACCGTTATAATAAACACATTAATTATAAAAAATACATGAAGACAATTTATGTAAACATTTGTGAAAATAATTCTACAATATTTCATCCTCTACACAGCTATGAAATTCATCTGGTCAACTCTCATCTGCAGCTACCAAGACTGCGATCAAAACATTTATTAAATATATCACAAAAAAGATCAACGTGAAAACTTAGTATTTTAAGTTACCTGTATTTTAAGAGTCTGAATAGTCCTCTTGTAGTAGAGAAACAAATTTGACTTCCGCATCATATTTAGAATACACCTAACCTAGACTCAGCCTAATTTAATACCACGTTTTCAATTCTATATCCGTCAGCCAACTTCAAGGCATACTAATGTCTTCATTACTTTTCCTGTATGTCAAGCTTATTTTTACTCTTGCTGCTGCCTTATCTAAGTCATGTCCCTACCCAACCTCCCATAACCCAAACTGTAAACTTCTGCTACAGTATAGTTAGGTCACCTAATTTTCATACTGAATTGAAAACTCCATAAATATAAGAACTCTATTATTACTTCTAAATCTTTCATTCTACGAAACCCTCTGTAGAACACAGCAGACAACTACTGACTTGAAAGAATATCTAGAGTCAGCATTTATTATTGAATATTGTGAAAAGTCACACAGTGATTTTTCACATTTCTCACTACCAAGAATCAAGGCTACTTAGTGAAACAGTAGTGCAAAGAACATAACTTCCTAGATTTCTTCTTTATCTAAAACTTACATTTTAGTTTTATTTTTCTTAATCAGAAAAACATCTTATTGGCTTTGCTAATTTTAAAGGTACATATGCCTATAGAAACATATTAAGTTACTGAAATATAGGAAATAAAGTATAAGACTTACCCACAATTCCTTTACAGAAAGATAACCATGTAGCATATTCTTTTAAAGGCCTTTTTAAAGTTTGTAAACTTTTTTTTTCCCCAATGTGAAGTTATTTCATACGATCTGCTCTGTGAACTATTCTATTTACTTATTTACATTCTCTTTGGTTTCTACTATAAATAACATAACTATCATACTTCAAGTTTTGTTTTGTAATTATTCTTTTGATTTTGTCTTAGTTATAGACTCTAAACTCTGAGGACAAGAACTCTTATTCATTTTGTTTCCCACCACCTATTTTGAATTTTAGACAATTCAAAAAATGGTTTCTTGAATTTGAACTATTGTTATGGTATACGTAAACTATTTTTAATCCAATATATCATTAATCCTTTTAAAGTTCTTTTTTCTCCCCCCACTTTACCTCCCCGCCGCCACTTCCACCCCTGACTTATGTATGTTGCTGTTTCCTCTTAACAACTGGATCTCTGAAAGTGGGGCGTCTCCTCTCACACGCTCGTGGCGTGCACCCGGGGCCTGGCGCAGCTGGCACACTTGGGGGGCCTGGCGCACCCAGGGTATGGTCCAATTTCTTAATGGCTGTTATCAGTCTTCATTGTATGGATGTACCATAGATATTAGGATGTTTGCCATTTTCTATAATGTGTAATGAGTATTTAGATCTAAATCTTTACATATCTTTATTTTTTAAAAAAATAAATGTCCAAAGTGGAATACTGTCCATAAGCGGAATTAAGGACATAAATCTTTAAAACTGTAATACATGTTACCCTATAGAAAGCTTTATCATAATTTATTTTTATAATTGGAGAGGGAGAAACTTATAAAAAAAAAGGATAGAGTAGCTTGGCAAAGTTGCAGGGAAAAAAGGAATACGTAAGTAGATAACTCTGTCTATACTCCCCCACACCTCAAGTGATTTCTTCAATATTTAATGAAAAGACCTATCTAGTCTTAAAATGCCAGGCTTCATATGAGGGTTAAATCTTATCTTTGAAAATCATATAC